ATCCATTATTGTTACTCAACATCCACACAATAAATTTCCTTTAGAATTTAGAGACAGGAAAGTATTTGTCTCACTAGATAAACGTTTATGTTTTCTATACTCTGAAAAAAGTAGTATAGCACAGTAGTTAAGATGATGGCTTTGGAATCAGATAGATTTGGATTTGAAGCCTAGTCCTAACTTTTTCTCACTAGGGAAATTATTTAATTTTTTTAAGTCTTGGTTTTCTCATTTGTAAGGAGATCTTGATTTCATTTTTATTTTTATTTTTTTTGTGGGAGGGAAGTCAATAAGATACTACATGTAATGCATTTTGCAATATCTTATATAATATACCTAGTGAACTCAATTAATATTACCTTCTATGTTTACTATAATACTATGATAAGTATATAATCCTGTACTTTTTATCTTCTACTTTAATCTTCACATCTAACTTTTCTACTGAACTACAATTATAATTTTGTTCAAAGTTTCTGGTAGAATAATTTTTTTCCTTCTTTCTTCTAAATCTTTAAATGATTCCTCATTTACATAAATCTTTCCTTTTTTATTTCAAATAATTTAAGGGGCACTTTATTATGTGGATGGAATTTATCATGCTGAAGTCAGGGTTTTCAGTGTACCCCTCACCAGTACTAGACAGGTAAAATTTTATTCTCCAACCCTCTCCTACCCTCCCCTCTTCTTAGTATTCAATGTCCATTACACTAGCGGTCCCCAACCTTTTTGGCACCAGGGACCGGTTTCATGGAAGACAATTTTTCCACGGACCAGGGTGGGGTGGGAGGATGGTTTCAGGATGATTAAAGCACATTACGTTTATCGTGCAGTCAAACCTCACTACTAGTGATAATCTGCATTTGCAGCCACTCCCCAGCACTAGCATCACCACCTGAGCTCCACCTCAGATCATTGGGCATTAGATTCTCATAAGGGCCATACAACCTAGATCCCTCACAAGTGCAGTTTATAGTAGTGTTTGAGCTCCTATGACAATCTGATGCTGCCCCTGATGTGACAAGAGATGGAGCTTATGCAGTAATGCAAGTGATGGGGAGTGGCTGTAAATACAGATGAAGCTTCACTCACTCCCAACGCCACCCCCCATAACACCCCTTCACCTCCTGCTGTGTAGCCCCGGTTCTTAACAGGCCACAGACCAGTACTGGTCTACCATCCAGGGGCTGAGGGCTGCAGCATTACACCACTTTATGAGCATTACATATGTCTTTCTAAATATATTCAATATTGAAGATGTCCTAAATGATTTTTACATTTATGGGTATAAAAATATCTAAAGAACAGAAAATCCTCTGAGAGATCCTATGTTGTATAAAAAATAAAATTAAGTAAAATGTTATTTCAAATAAGTAAAATATAAGTTTATTCAATAAATAAATGACATGTAAACTAAAAAAGTTAGAGCCCTACTCTGAATCTTATATACATGCATGTGTACATGTGCATGTATACATATATGCATATGTGTGTATATATAATTTTTTTTAAAATATGGAATGCTTTGCAAATTTCCACGTCATCCTTCGGGGAGGTCATGCTAATCTTCTTTGCATTGTTCCAATTTTAGTAAATGTGCTGCCAAATTGAGCACAACATATAATTTTTAACTCTCCTCAAATGTAGAATAGTTTCAAGAGAGAAATAATTTTTTCTAAAAGAACGATATTAGAAAAGATCAATTTCACATAGGTTTTAAAATCTATAGTTTAGCATCCAAAATTTCTAAAAATACATATTAAAAGGCAAAACAGACACTGAGAAAAAAGTTTATAATAATTAAGACAAGTATAGACTTATAATAGTTACTTCAAAATATTAAAAAACAAATAATAGGGGTTGTTATCAACCAATAAAAAAGTAAGAATCCCCAATTAAGATGGAAACAAGCAACAGTAAACAGACAATTTACAGAAGATATAAAGCAAATAGACAAAAATATAAACAATGTCAAATTTGATAGAAGTAAAATATGCAAATCAAATACAGATACAATTATTAGACTACCAGATTGGGAGAATGTTAAAAATTATTACACTTCTATGTATACTTCTATGTATACTGAAATACATTTTATCATATATTGTCATTAAGAGTTCAAATTACTGAAAGTTGTCTGAAAGGAAATGTATAGTACTAAGTATAACAGACTTTAAAAATATTTCTATCTTTAACCTAGTAAGGAAATGTAGTACTAAGTATAAAAGACTAAAAATATTTCTGCCTTTAATCTAGCAATTCCTAATCTAATTTTAATCCAATAATTCCACATTTAAGATTTCATTCTAAGAATATAATCAGAATTTTATGTGAAAAGATATTAGTGTGAAATTATGAGCAATGTAAATTTAGAGGTAATCAAATTCTCTACCAATAAATGGGAAAATAGTAAAATACAGCATGTATGTCCATCAGCTTGAATATTCATCAGCTTGAATATTATTTGATCACTAAAATTATAGATGCTTAAATAGTTAATAATATGAGAAAATATCCATGATATAATATTAAATAAAAAATAGAATACAATATTAAAATTTACACTATGACCTCACATATATATAAATATACAGTATATTTATATAATATACATATTTTAAATTACATGTAATAATATATAATATATATTTTAAATTGTATGCTTAAAATATATGAAAGATAAAGTTGACAAGTATGTAAATACATATCTTAAATATATCAGATGACTTTTGATCAAAGTTAATCAGGATGAGTAGTTAATCAAATAATCAAAAAAGTTAATTCAATTGTCAATTCAAAGAAAAGTGATAGAAGTTCTACTTCTTGCCAAGATGGTGAATTAGCACAGGATGCTGGCTCCCTCTCTCCAAATCATCTCTCAAAAACCTATAAAAATGTGAGGGACACATGCATTTTGCAGTTATTAAAAATATTAGTTAAATCTAGGGAACCAAATTTGTCATGAATTGTGTGTGTGTGAGAGTGTATGTGATGGCAGCCTGGCAGGCAGCCCAAGTTGTCTTTTCTTATTTGTAATGTTAAAAATAATACACACATAGAAGAATGCATAAAATCAACAGTTTAAATTATTAAAAAGGTGACATCAGGTAGACACTCAAGTCAAGACATAGAACTCCTTCAATATGCTTGAAGCCCAACCACATTTCTTCCTAAAGCTTTCCTGTCCTGCTCATACCACCCACACAATCTAACCACTATTCTAACTTTCACAGTTATCAATCATTCTATTCAGTTATCAATCACAGTTATCAATCAATTCTATTCAGAATAGAATTATCAACTATATGCCTCTCAAAACATTCACATTTTTGCTTAAGTTTGAATACATCATTGAATAATGAGTTTGCTTTGATCCCTTTTATGTTTAGAAATTGTTTTCAATTATACATCAACAGGAATTATATTGTTTCAGATTTTTCATTTACTCCTATGATCATTAATTCATTCTTTTAAATAAATGTATGGAAATATGGTTTAAATGCAATAAAATAAATTTATTTTAAGTGTACATATGGGAGGTTTATACATTCATGCAACTACCACCAAAATCAAGATAGAACATTCCTATCACCTAGAAAAATCTTCTTTGTGCCCTTCCCCATCTATTCCCTCCCCACTGCCATCCCTGGATGCAGGAAACCACTAATTTACTTTCTGTCAGAATATACTATATTTGAAGTCTTAAAGTTTTATATAAATGGAATCATACAGTGTATAATTTTTTATATCTGACGTCTTTATCTCAGCATATTTCTGAGATGCATTCATGTTGTTGCATGCATCAATAGTTTGTTACTTTTTATTGTATTGATATGTTGTATAGGTATGCCAATTTTTTATCCACTTACCTGTTGATGGACATTTACGATATTTGCAGCTTTCAGTTGTTATAAATAATTCTGGTATGAACATTTATGTTCCCTCTTTATCCCTGGTAACATACTTTATTCTTAAGTAAGTTTTGTGCTTTAAAGCCAAAACTTTTTGGATGTTTCATAGTGTATATTGTTCTATAATTTTCCTTTTAATATATCTGTTTTTATATATAAAATTAATTTCTCATAGAGTACAGATATTTGGGTTTGCATTTTTATTCAGTCTGTTTATCTCTGTCCTTTAATTGGTGTGTTAAGATCATTTACATTTAATGTTATCACCGACATGGTTGGGTTTAAATTTACCATCTTGCCATTTGTTTTCTATTTGTTCCATATGTTCTCTGTTTCTCTCCCTTTTTTTCCAACATTTGTTTTTTTGATTGAGTATTTTTCATTATCCCATTTTATCTCTACTATTGGTTATTTAGCTAAGACTCCTTTTTGTGACTTTCTTACATTTTCTTGAGGGCTTATAATATGTAACTTAGCACAATCTACCTTCACATAATATATCATTTCACATATAATATGCTTACAACAATATTTTATTATTTATTCCTCTTGTCCTTTGTGTTATTTTCATAGATTTTACTTCTATGTTATAAAGACCACAATAAATTATTTATATTTTTATTTTAAGCAATTAGATTTTATAGAAATTTTAAAATGTAAAAAAGCTCTTTCATTCCTGTGTGTACATCCAAGTTTCCTTCTGGTATTACAAAGAGTTTCCTTTGATATTTCTTGTATTGAGGGTATGATGCAATAAATTCTCAGATGTCATGTTTTCCTGAAAAAAACTTTTAATTCCTGTTTGTTTTGAAATATACTTTTTATGGATAAAAATTCTAGATGTTTTCTCCCCTTCAGCATTTTAAAGATGTTATTCCTATGAACCAGGAAATATGAGCTGAAAGAAAAAAAAAATAAATAAAGATGTTATTCCTTTGTTTCTTGATTTTCCTGGTTTCTTCGGGTAAGTCTATAGTCATTCTTATCTTTTCTTTATTGCTAGTAATCATTAATTTGATTTGATATATTCTCATATGGAATTCATGAGTATGGATTCATGACTAAACTTTGTTTTCTTCTTTTTTCCAGACCTAACTTCTTCAAATATTTTCCTTCCCGACAATCTTTCTGTATTCTGGAATTTCAATTAAGAGTATGTTATATTACTTTATGTTTCCCACAGATCACTGAAGTTCTGACCATCCTTTTGCAAGTTTTGTTTCTTCTTTATTTTGGATTGATTGTATTATTATATCTTCAAGTTCACTATCTTCTTCTGTAGCATCTAATCTGCTCCTAATTATTTTTAATAAAATTTATATCTTTACTGTGCTAAGTCTCCTAATCTATGTACACTATGTACACTCCTCAGTTATTTAGGTATTTGATTTCTCTCCATAGCATTTTATAATTTTGAGCATACAGATCCTCTATATGATTGGCTACATATTTACCTAATGGCTACATATTTACCTATACTTTACCTAAGTTTATCTTTTGAGGGGAGCTACTGTAAATAGTATTTTTAAAAATGTGTTTCCTGTTGTTCATTGCTGCAAAAAAGAATTATAATTGATTTTTTTATGTATTTACCTTGTGTCTTGTAACACTGAAAACTCACTTATTAGTACTAGAAGTTTTGTCTTGCTTTGTTTTACAGTCCTTAGAATTCTACATATAGACAATCTTGTTATTTGTGAATAGGGAGACTTTTCGTTTTTATTTTCCAACCCATATGCTATTTATTTCTTTTTCTTTCCTTTTTGCATTAGCTGGGACTTTTATGAGGTTAAATAGGAGTGGTAATAGTGGATACCCTTGTTGTCTTCTGTAAGAAACAAAGCACTAAGTGATCTTAAAAGAAAAACATTCAATGTTCCATCTTTAAATATTTTCTTAGCTTTAAGTATTTTGTACATGCCTTTTATGAGTCTTAGGAAGTATTTTTGATTCCTAGTTTCCCAAGAGTGTGACCATGAAAAGATGTTGGATTTTGTCAAATGATTTTTCTGCATTAATTGATATGATCATGTGGTTTTCTCAATAGAGAATTATCTTGATTGATTTTCCAACATTGAATCATCCTTACATTCATAAAACCCATTTAGCCTAATGTGATTCCTCTGGAGAGAATCTATGTGTTATTCTGCCCACTTTTCCAGAATGCTATGGCATCATTTTCTGTTAATATTTCAGCTTGAGATTTTCTGTGTAATGTAGTTAGTTTAATGTTGAATCACAAACCTCCATGAGAGTTGGCCTTTAGTTACCATTTCCCAAGATAATTCTTTTTTCACTTAGACCCCAAGCCAAGATAGGGAAATTTCCTTCTCTTCTCACTTTCTTGGTGAGTTAGATGTCACTAGTCCACACTTTTACTGAGGGTAAAACCTATAAAAAATTCCACGCTATACAGAAAACTTAGTTTCAATTGTCACCTTACCTGGAACCAACAACTTTCTTCATAGTTAGGTAAAATGCAAACCTCTTGCTTTAGGGGTTAGAAAATGCCCTTGGGAGTTTTGGAGCTCTAAGATAAATTTATTCTTCTGGATTTCAGCTTTTCATGTGTGTGTGTGTTTATGTGTGTGTTCTGTTTTGTTTGTCCTCTAGTTTATTGAGTTCTTAGACATTTGATGGTTTCATCTTATTTTATTTTTTTAATGGGGGAGGTTTTCAGAATATTTAATAAAATAGACAAAAATGGGAGTCTATATTACTTTCAAGTTCATTATAAAAAATTCATGTGTTTGTCATTCATGTTTGGGGTTCCATTAATTATTGTGTTATTGCCATCTAGCTTATTGTTTCTCTTTTTAGTTTTGTGCTTTTGGATTTTCTTTAATAAAGCGTTCATGGAAACTTGCAAATATGTGTGGTAAAAGTAGGTTCCTGCAGCAGTACCAGGATAGAATGGCAATTTGATATCATGCTTTACCAGAATAGAGGCAATACAAGGTCACATCCAATATGGGTGGCTCTTGTCTTAGAGAGTCGGTTATTAAAGCAAACAAAACAAAAACAAAAATTTAAAACAAAATAATAAAAAGCTCCAAACAAAATAATATGGTGAAGAGTTTAGGAGAAATCATAAGAGATTCCTGAAACCCCATGATGCTTCTTTTGGGTCCAGAAATGCTTACTGGAACCTGGCGACTCTCATGAATCTGACCTTTCTCTATCTCTTCATCTCTCTAATATATACTTGTTTTCTATTTCATGTCATTTCCTCAGGGTTCTGCTGTGTGTTAATGAGTTTTAATAAGATGGAAAAATACATGCTATTATGTTGGGTAGCAAATGATTTACCCGGGAAATATAATGCCTTAACCTAATTAAAATGCATGTCTCCACAGAGCCTTCAAGGAGTGATGTTAATGGTGGAAATTTCAGACATTGTGTCAGCCTCATGGGGATCTATTTTTCATTGGGAGAGAATTTGGCATCTTTCAAATTCTGCTGTCACTGAATGGAAGATCGAGTTATGCTTCCATTCCATAGCCTAAACACTCAGTTGATGTATAAGATAACATTTTTGCAAAAGTAAAGAAAATTTATCATACACAATGAAATTTAATTTTTTTTAATTTGGGAAAATACTGAAGATAGTATGCACTAAATGAGAGTGAGAATAAAATAGTTAAATACAAAACTCTGAGTAGAGACATTTTTATTAAAACTTCATTTAATATTTATATTTTATTAAAACTACCTTATACATTAAAACAAAGTCCTTGATTTAGGAAATATCTTTTCATTTCTTTTTGTATTTTAAATTATTGATTAAAATTTTTTTAATAAATGATACATATGCATGGTTTGAAATCAAAACTATAAGAGAGACAGAGTTAAGAATTAACATATTCTGCAATCAGATATTCTAACCAAAGAAAAAGCAGATTTTACTTATTACTTTAGAGAGAAAATTAGGTAAAATGGAGCTTTTTAAATAGAGAAATATCCAGAATAACAAAAACACAAATTAATAAAATCTCTGCATTAATTTTTAATATTGAATAATGTCAGACTGAGTGGCTGGAAGATTTTTATATTTATAATTAAATTGTGCTACAACTACACAGATACTCAGCTAACATCTGCACAAGGGTGCTTTGGGAAGCAATAAAAAATTATTACTAGAAACTGAACTGCTCACAAAGAGAAAAAAATCTCTTCAGAGAGATACACCTGGGCTATTCCAGAAGACAGACATTTCTCCTGTCCTCCTCTCCTGGCTAAGGATTTTTACCAGTTTCTCCTCATTGAATAAGGATTAGGAATTTTGATTTACATATCACTGAACAGCATATATGTATGCACACTCACATTCACATATCCATATATATTTGAAGTTGGTGGGGGAGATGACATATTTGTAACAGAAAAGTACCTGGACTTGTGGATCTCACTTGACTATTACAAGTTCAAAATAGGCTTTCCAGTTAAGCATCACTCTTTCTAGAAGGTTCTCTATTAAAACTAATTTCTTACTATTTATAGCACATGTTACAAATCATAAGCTGTTACATTATTTGAAGCATGGTGTCAATGCTTAGAAAATTCACTAAAACCCAAAAAATCTATCAGTGGCTTATATTCCATATAAAGAATATAATAGCGAAGATAATAGAATCATAAAAGAGTAAAGCTGGAAGAAACCTTAGAGATAATAGCAACAACAGCTAAATTCAGATAACACTCACTATGTGACAGACACTGTTTTATGTACTTTAAATATACAACCTTACTTGATCCTGACAACAACACAATTAGATAGATATTGTTATTGTTTCTATTACATAGAGATGGAAATTGAGGAACAAAAAAGTTTGTTACTTGCTCCAGGTCACATAGCTTAATGATTTTTGAGTTGGGATTTGAACTGGCTTCAGAATCTGTGTTCTTAAACCACAATTAAGTCCAAGGATCATTCCCAAATAAATGAAGGTAGACAGTATCACAACAGGGATAAAAAAATTTGGATTGGAATCATATCACAAAATTTTTGACCATTGGAAGAAATTTATCATCCATATTCTTAGTTTTTGATTGTTGCAATGTGACTGCACTTAAGAAAAATAGAGTTGGCTGTCCTTCTTGATTAGTATAAGCAATTACATACTTTTCTTTATCTCACAAAAAAACTATAAAAGTCTATTAACTCAATATAGCATAATGAGGCTCATTTTTTATGGAAAGATAAAGGCTTTAGCCTGCCACTCTTAATCCTCAATGAATGTTTAAAACTTAAAACTATTTTCACTTAATACAAAATGATTTTATTAGAAATAATTGAAGTAATTACTCCCAAATTGATCTAGACTTCCCACTGCTTCAGATTTCTAACTTTTTTCTTTTGAGCTTTTAATGTTTTAAATGTAAAGTGCTTTGAGACTTTTGTAAAAGATGCTTTTAAAAATACACACTGTCAAAGTGTTACTGTAAAACTCAGTTACATCAGGCACTGTACATATTAAAATGTTGAAGTGACTCATCTTCCATTCCCTCTGTTGTTTATATGACCTACACCATGGATATAAAAGGCTTTAAACTAGATAACAAGAGATTGTCACTCTTTCAGTAAAATCACCTGGATGAATAAGTGAGTTAAATTTCTAGATTCTTATTTATTTCTAACTTAAAGAAAATCTCTCTCCCTCCCCACCTCCACCTTGAGACTGATAACATACGTGGTGATCAGGGGGGCTAAGTGATATTAAAATATCAAAGAATGGCCTCAATCACTGGAATACAGATGTTACCTAGAATTCTTGAAACATAAAATAGGAATTGTAAATCAGTTTTTGACCTTAAAAAAATGGAAAATTCTGTTTCTAAATGTGATTATTATTTCTTGGTAAATTCAAGTATTTCTTGGTAAATTTTAACTGGTCTCTAACCATTTTTGAAGGAGAGAAACTTTACAATGTATGAGAAAAAGCAATTGTATTATTTTACAATTTATGGTATGTACACAAACATGTAATTTTCTTATATTGGTGCATATGTATGAATCACAGGAGCCATGTGTGGCAGAATCTCCTAAAATCTCCAAAATCTATTTTGTGTCTCCATCCATATTAATAGAATATTTAGCTGAGCACATGACCATTCTGAATTAGACTATATTTCCCACACTCCTTTGAAATTAGTTGTGGCATTGTGACTACATTTGTCAAATATTATGAGAAGAGATGTGATAAAGATGAGAATGTGAGAAGTACTTTGTGAGAGCTTTGGGGAATATTCCTGAAGAGACAATGCAATTGTACCATTTGGCTCCCCTCATTCCTATTTCTGTCCTTTGGGTGGAGCAGATGCTGACATCCTGAACTCTGAGAGTAAGGCCACACATGGTAGAGCTGCTCAAGCTAATTCTGGGTTCTCAATACCACAAAGTACCACACTAGTTACTGAGTGATAGATATACCTGAACTGAAAACAAAATATTTTTTCCTTCAAGTCCCTCAGTATCCATGCCCTGAGTAGTTCTTCCTACATTCGCTCTGGGCTTAACAATATGCCTTGCTTGGCAAGTGGGACAATAGCAAATATAATGCAAACAGATTTCAAATGTGTTTGCACATATGGGCTTGTCTTCTCCTGGGCCCCTGGGAACCCTGACATATGAACAAGTTCAAGGTAGCCTGCTGGAGAATGAGAGACGTGTTAGCCAATCACCCCGCACTCATTGTCCTAGTCAACAGCCAGCCCATCACCAGATCATTTGATTTTGTTCAGATCACATGGGACCACCCAGTTTTCAGTCCAACTTGCTAACTAACTGCAGGCACATGCAGAAACCCAAATTAAATCATCCACGCCCAGCTTAGGCTATGAGAACTTCAGCAAGATCCCGAGTTAAACAAATGGATGCTGTGAAGCCACCAAGCTTTGGGTGATGTGTAATACTAATAGATAATGAGACAGTTTCTAAAGTCTTCTTCGGTTCTAAATGTTATAATTTTTTGATTCTATGTTATAAAGTTGCAAAAGCATAGTCTTTGCAGACAGAGAACCTATTCAAGTTTTTCCATTTGACAAAACTCTTGAGCCTCTGAGCCTTAGTCTTCTACTCTCACATAAATAGGCCATTGATACTGGTTGGCCTGGGGCAGCCCCAGTTCCCCTTGTTGTCCTAATGTAATTCTTAATAGCACTTTTTCTCTCAAAAGTGTTTCAGATGGGTCAATAAATTATATTGTGATCTTAAAATATATTTCATAAATTTGGAGTCAGAAAAAATAAGATTAAAAGTAACGTTGATTACTATCATCAGTCATTGATAAATGATCCATGTACTTAGCACAAAATATGCAAAGCCTTACTATAGTAGTTATGAGGATGCAAAGATCAATAAAACACAGTCCATTTTTATTTTTATGTATACTTGTGCATGTGAATATATTTGTGTACTGTGTGAACATGCTGATTAAGACAGAAGATTTTGGAACCAAGTTGCTTATGGTCAACTTTCACAAGAGCACTATGACCTTCTGCACATCAGATTTTTGAAAACAAGATGATAGTCATCTTGAAAACAAGATGATAGTAATAATACTTAAATCTTAAAACAGTATTTAGCACAGTGCTATGTAAGTATTAGAAACCATTTAGGAAAAACAGAAGTGCTCTACAACATAAAAATAAAAATTCATTAATAGACTCTTGAAAATGATGTACTTATTTACTGTATCACTTAATTATGAGCTATCTTTGAACTAAAGTGGAGTCAAATCTCAGAGCTTATACTCATTGAGTGAAATGTCAGGTCCTACCCCTATTTAAAGACCTCTTCCTCTCCCTTTCTGAGTTACTATAGATGACGTTGTCTAAATTTATTGTTTGTATAATGTAATATACCTGTGTAAAATACCTACGTTGTAAAAGAAAAGCAATATTTTCTTTACTCAAATGATGGGTGTCGTTATTAGTTTCTATTAAATTATTAGAATAGTATGCATTAAAATTAAAATGCTGATATATTGTGGTTATATTTATTCCTTTGATTTCCAAACTAATTTAAATGTCTTTTAAGTTAAAGTACTTATTTAGTATTGAAACAATTCTTATTGGTTAAAAAGTAAATCTCCAGTTTAAGAGAAAATATGTCAGTCTAGCACATAATAATTGGATATCTCAGAGATGAATATTGGGTGTATAATACACAGGGATACAGATAAGTACTTCAGGATTATTAAAAATGCTCTTTATTACTTACACGTGACTTTTTAAATGATATGTGAATATTAAATATAATAGAAAACTCCTCTTGCATTTGGCTATTATTTATAATTTTTAACTTTGCTTTCATAAATATGTGTTCTTTACTTAGTCTTTTCTCAGATCTGGCCTTTACGGTAATGATTGATATGTGCTATTTTCGTTGCCAGCTGCTATAGATTCCAGTGGGCTAGAACAAGATTTGAATTGTGCTTGATTGAATGGTTCTTGTATTTCTTAGCTAATATATGCAATATTGTGGATAAGTTCATATACTAAAACTACCTGACAAATTAAAATCCTGGAAGAATGAATTCATCAAAAGTGATTCCTGTCCCTGGATTGTCTCACTGGCTTTAAAAATATTCATTTTATTTTGATTGTACACATAAAGATCAAATCACCTGTGGTGTTGGTGGTATAGTGGTTAGCACAGCTGCCTTCCAAAGATCAAATCAGCATACATGAA